GATCCTTACATTGTTACTCGTTTGCGCTCATCTCATTTTCTCTATCAACACTTCACCGGCGGGTCGAAAGCTGAAAGAGAAAAAAAAAAAAAAAACAATGGCGTCGGCGATCCTGCGATCTGGTCTTCTTCGAAGCGTTCTTCGCGGTGGCTCAAAGACCTCCGCTCCAGCCAAACGCCAATTCTCTTCTTCCGCTCATCACGATGTTGAATGTAAATATAAATACCTCGCTCTGTTTGCTCTCGTCGAATTACCAAATCTGTGTCTTTTCATATGTTATTTAGAAAACCTTTCCTTTCCATCAGTTGTCATTCTGAAAGGCCAGATTCCGATCCTTTTTGGATCAATCCGGACCTTTCATCAACCGATCGTAATTTCAGAGTCGATTAGTCTAATATGAGTTGTTTTAGGGTTTCGATATTCTCGTAGAAATCGTTGATTGGTCATAAAATGTGATTTTTTCGGTTAATGGAAATGGGTTGGAGTGGATTGGATGTTTGTACCCACAACTGTATTGCGTCTTTTGCTGGGAAATTATTCATTGTTGGTACTGTTTCCTAATCTTCCTTTGAATCCTAAAATTGATTATTTAATCAGTTGAGGCCAAAGAAGCATCAAAATGGGAGAAGATAACTTACCTTGGAGCTGCGTCTTGCACTGCCTTAGCCTTTTACTGTTTGTCAAAGGGCCATCATCACTTTGACGAGCCTCCGGTAAGCATTTTGCTCATCTTTCATAACCATTATAAGAAGAAAAAAGCATTTGGCTTATCTATCTAGTGTTGTGTCGACGTTCTTTGGAGCAAAAATTTATGGCACAAGAGCGAGTAATCTACCTTGAGCTTGTGGCCGTTGATTGCGGTGCTTTCCAATTGCCAATACCATGCAAGTTTTTGTATTCTCATGTAAATTATATTGCTGCAGGCATACCCCTACTTGCATATCCGCAACAAGGAGTTCCCATGGGGTATGTTTCTCTAACAATGTTCCCTCTGAAATATCTAGGTTGTTCTACTAGAAGACACACTCTTGTATACAATTTGCATGTGGCCTATGATGCTGTGCATAGTTTATGATCCTGCAGCAATATTTTAAATGGCTTGGCTAAAATCACTTGATGCTATTATCAAGTTGTAATGTCTGTCGTTTTGCTTTCGGAAAGATGCTGCAAGCACAGCTTTCCTTTAGTTGGTTGGTTTTCCAGAGAACTTCAATGAGCAATCAAATTTTGTTTTCAAGATATTTTCATTCTGGAGGTATACTTGATTCTGATCCATCGGATAGAATGAGCTATATATTTCATAGTACGAATAGATTGCCAAAACTCATTAGATTAGTGCTGATGATGATAATAATAATTGTCAGTAAAAGTTCATTTTAGTTACTTTTTCATGTGCTTGGATTGCCTTGAACCAGTTACAAACATGAATGTTTTCTAATTGTACTATGCTTATTCTTCCTTTTCGTTCTGTCTAACTATCAATGTACTTCCATTTTTCGATTGTGGTTTGAAATTGATTGTTCAGAAATGTACAGGTGTCCTTACACCCCCATTGTTTTCGCCTCCTTTTCCGTTTGGTGAGAGCACCATTGTTTTATCTTACGCATGTTTTCATGACATGCAGGACCGGATGGGCTTTTTGAGGTGAAAGAGCATCATTGAATCATCGATTGCACCTATTAAGTGGAGATTGGAGTTCCTCTTGTTTATGATTTCACTTTTATCTGCCCCTTTTTCCTGTTTAACCAATGAATTGTTGGGCAAACTGAGTTTCTTTGATTTCATTTATGGTGGATTACTAGACCAGGAATCCTCCAGTTGAGTATCTTCCATGTTTATGTTTGGTTATTAGTTGGCGCTGCAAAATAAAACTGCCACAGGTTTGTAATAGCCTCTGTCCATTCTAGCTACCATGGTTCTTATCGACGTCTCCATTCTGCGGTTATCATACTATCATGTGCAGTGTAGACTGTCCAAATAACTTCTGTTAGACCAACTCCAACCCGATGTTTTCCCACTTTTTCCTCTCCAACCCACCTAAAAATTGGCTTGCAAATTTGGAGAAGTGGGCTGGGCTTGGAAGTGGTTGGATGGCAGCTGAAATGGAAAAATGCAAGAAGAAGGTGGGGGACCCTGCGGTAGCCGAAGCCCACACGTGGTGGGGCCCTTCACTTTCGGCTTTCCAGCGGTTTTTTTTTAACTTTCTTAATTTTTGATTGGTTGGTTTTGAGTTGGGAAGGCAAATTTAGAAGGTTTAGGGTTGGAGCGAAAAAGTGTTTTTTGGAGGTAAAAATGTACATTTGAGAGCTTGAGAGGCTAAATATAGCCTTTTGGGTTGGAGTTAGTGTAAGTGCTTCAAGTTCTTAATAATCCTTGTAGCATTGAGTCACCTATTCAATTAATGGTTATAACTGTGTGGATCGCCTGCATTCATGAGAATTGTCGGGCTTTTACATCTTGATGCAAAATTACCCTTCTGTGGTTGTAAAATAGATGTTTTGGAATTGAACTCTTCTTGTCAGTTAAGATGTGTTTCTTATGGATTTCTTATGTGCTTTATAGATGTGGGATTCGCCTAATATGTTACATTTATTTTACGATCAATACACGGCCAAACATCTAAACACAAAACACTACAATAGTTTGACACTACGTACAAATCAGGATAACAAGCTATCTAATGACTATTACCAACACATGGAATCTTCCCAGTCTACTGCAAACATAGGGCACCCCCCATGTAAGGCTTTATTCATCTTCTCCACCAGTTCTTCGGCTCGGAGCTCATTCTAGGCAAACACACGTTTGCATCCAAGGTTATCAAACTCCTATCGGACCCCTGGTTGAACCTGATCCAACCTAAATCAGGCTTCAAAATAGTCCATAGAAACAGTCTGACCCCTAAAGAGGAAGAAGAAGAGAGAGGAAGAGGAACAAAGGAAGGGAGATGGTGGGTGGGTCATGGAGGTTAGGTAGATTTAACATGTGAAAAATAAGTTTGTAATAGATACATGTAAGATAAATTTTATTTATTAAATTGTTAATTACTAACTTATTTGTATATATATTTAGAAAACATCTACAATAGTTCAAACCAGCCGGACCCTTATCAGACCATTAAACTTCAAACCCCTTAATTTAGCGGCTCAATAATTTAAACCGGTTCATTACATGGTTGATCAGCGAGATTACAAAAAACGTTCATGTTTGGTTACTAGAAATATTTAAATTCAATCTTGGTCACTCAAATTAGTTAAATGGTTCAAGTTTGGTCACTCTCCGTCCATTTCCGTTAACTCTAGTTTACGTGGCAATCAACTTTCATGGTTGACCGTTAAATATGTGACATGACAATTAAAAAATTATTAAAAAAAATAAACTTTTATATTTTCCACCTCATTATTACATTCATTAAAAAACAAAAACCTAATTTCTTTTCTACTCATCCCCATACTCTACCCGACCCAACCTCACCACTAGAACACAACCTCCGGCGGCGGCAATCCTTCTGTTCGCCAGCAGGCAGCAGCTAGCGATCCTCCTCTCCAGCGGTGCATTCCTTCCGTTCCACCACTCCTGAAACCACTGCCGCCGCCAGAGTGGAACTAAGCCTCGTTGACGGTGATGTTACGGCCGTCGAGATCCTGGCCGTTCATCCCTTCGATCGCGTCCTTCATCGCCTGCTGGTCCCTGAAGGTCACGAATCAGAATCCACGGGACCTGCTTGTCTCCCGATCGTTGATGACCTGAACTAAATTACACACACAAACGAAAGGTTCACAGACCCGTCAAATCTAAGCTTCTCAACCCCCTTCTAAGCTTCTCTATCTCCTTTTTTTTAATCTTCGCCTCTATCTCTTTTTGAACGAAGAAGGTAAAAAAGAAAATTGGTGTTGACTGAATTGTATTCCTCAAAACAGGGTGGAGGCTCATTACTCGCAATTGTGTAGGTAACTTGAATTTCAAATTATCTTTCAATTTCTTTCCCCTAAATTTGTTCTCAGAAATCTCAGTTTAGCTACTTCCTAATTCCTATGGCTGTAATTCATTGTGACTTCTCTGAATATGTTCCCGTTTTAGATCTGCCCCGGGTTTCTGTGGCTTTTTGTTGTTTCTCCAGTTCGTAAGAGGAGGCTGGAAGATGGAGTCGTGGAACGATGGCAAAGGAGGTGGCAGGTGGTAGAAATTCAGGGGGTTGAATGGTAGTCGGACGCCGGAGAGGAGGATCGCTAGCTGCGGGCGAACAGAAGGAATGCCGCCACCGGAGGTTATGTTTTGGTAGTGGTGAGGTTGGGTCGGGTAGGGTATTGGGGTGCGTAGGAAAGAAATTAGTTTTTTTATTTTTTATTTTTTAATGAATGTTATAATGAGGTGGAAAATATAAAAAGTTTATTTTTTTATTTTTAATAATTTTTTAATTGTCACGTCACATATTTAATGAAAGTTGACTACCACGTAAATTAGAGTTAACGGAAATGGACGCAGAGTGACCAAACTTGAACCATTTAACTAATTTGAGTGATCAAGATTGGAATTAAATATTTTCAGTGACCAAACATGAACGTTTTTTGTAATCTCAGTGGTTGTAATCTCAGTGACCAACCATGCAATTAACCCATTAATTGAATGAGCAACTCCAAGCTACAAGGATTATTAAGAACTTGAATTGAAGCACTCACAGAAGTTATTTGGACAGTCTACACTCCCCATGATAGTTTGATAACCGGAAACGAACCGCAGAATGGTGTTGCAGATAAGAACCACGGCAACTAGAATGGAGGGAGACTATTCCAAACCAGTATCAGTTTTATTTTGCAGCCCAAACTTAAAACCAAACATAGGCATCGAAGATACTGAACTGGAGCATTCTGGGTCTAGCAATCCACTATCATGAAATCCAGAAACTGAGGTTGCCCAATAAATTGATTGGTTAAACTGGAAAAAGTGAAACCATAAACAAGAGGAACTCCAATCTCCACTTAATAGGGGCAACGAAGGACTCAGTGGTGCTCTTTCACCTCAAAAAGGCCATCCGGTCCTGCATGTCATGAAAACATGAGTAAGAGAACACAATGATGCTCTCACCAAACGGAAAAGAAGAGAAAACAATGGGGGTGTAAGGACACATGCAAACCACAATCGAAAAATGGAAGTACATTGTAGGGCTGAAAATTGGTCCGACCCGCCCCTGACCCTGTCTGACTCGCCCCTGAAGGGTCAAGATGTATAACTGACCCGCCCCGACTCTGTTTCTTTCATGACCCTGTCTGACCCTTTAGGGTCGGAGCGGGTCAGGAAGGGTCAGGTCAGTGGGTCGACCTTAATAAATAGACTACTTTTCTAAAAATTACAATTTGGTACCCGAATTTATTTGTTCTTACATTTTAGTACCAAAAATTTATTTTTTTTACAAATAAGTCCCTAAAATTTGATGGTAAAATTACGTTTTGGTACCCAAATTTTTTAATTTTTACAATTTAGTACCTAAACTTTTAAAATTTTACAAATAGGTCCAACATGTTTGTATGATGCTAAGGGTCATAGGGTCAAAAAGTGACCCGACCCTAAATTGACCCGACCCTATCTGACCCTGATCCGACCCGACCCTAAATTGACCCGATAGACAAACTGACCCAGCCCGACCCTGAGGGTCGGGGCGGGTCAGTGGGTCTTAAGGGTCAAACTTACACCCCTAGTACATTGATAGTCAGACAAAACGATAAGGAAGAACAAGCATAGTACATTCTAATGAGTTTTGGCAATCTACTCGTATCAGTGCAATCACATGAAACATATAGCTCATTATATCCGATGGATCAGAGTCAAGTACACCTCCAGAATGAAAATATCTTCAAAACAAAATTTGATTGCTCATTGAAGCACTCTGCAAAACCAGCCAACTGAGGGAAAGCTGTGCTTGCAGCATCTTTTCGAAAGCAAAACGACAGACATAACAACTTGATGATAGCACCAAGTGATTTTAGTCAAGCCACTTAAAATATTGCTACCGGATCGTAAACTATGCACGACATCATAGACCACGGGCAATGTTTACACAAGAGTGGTGTCTTCTAGTGGAACAACTAGATATTTCAGAGGGAACATTGTTAGAGAAACATACCCCATGGGAACTCCTTGTTGCGGATATGCAAGTAGGGGTATGCCTGCAGCAATATACTTGACATGAGAATACAAAAACTTGCATGGTATTGGCAATTGGAAAGCACCGCAATCATCGGCCACAAGCTCATGGTAGATTACTCGCTCTTGTGCCAACAATTTTTACACCAAAGAACGTCGACACAACACGAGATAGATAAGCCAAATGCTTTTTTTCTTATAATGGCTATGAAAGATGAGCAAAATGCTTACCGGAGGCTCGTCAAAGTGATGATGGCCCTTTGACAAACAGTAAACGGCTAAGGCAGTGCAAGACGCAGCTCCAAGGTAAGTTATCTTCTCCCATTTTGATGCTTCTTTGGCCTCAACTGATACAATATCAAATTTTAGGAACCGAAGGGAGATTATGAAACAGTACCCACAATGAATAATTTGCCAGCAAAAGCAGCAATACAGTTGTGAGTACAAACATCCAATCCAATCCAACCCATTCCCATTAACCGAAAAAATCACATTTTATGACCAATCATCGATTGCCAAGAGAATATCGAAACCCTAAAACGACTCAAATTAGACTAATCGACTCTGAAATTACGATCGGTTGATGAAAGGTTCGGATTGATCCCCAAAGGATCGGAAATCTGGCCTTTTCGAACGCCAACTGAAGGAAAGGAAGGGTTTTCGAAATAACATATGAAAAGACAGATTCGGTAATTCGAAGAGAGCAAACAGAGCGAGGGATTTATATTTACATTCAACATCGTGATGAGCGGAAGAAGAGAATTGCCGTTTGGCTGGAGCGGAGGTCTTTGAGCCGCCGCGAAGAACGTTTCGAAGAAGACCAGATCGCAGAATCGCCGACGCCATCGTTTTTCCTCTTTCAGCTTTCTACCCGCCGATGAAGTCTGTTGATAGTGAAATGAGATGAGCGCCTGCGCAGCAAAGCAAACGAGGAAGGATGTAAGAATCCTCTCAATTGAGTTCTATAGAACTTCTATCATCCTGGCCCGAATATCCAATAGAAAAATTACCAAGGTTGGGCTTAGAAAAGGAAAGGGCAGCAGCCTAAACAAAAACCGTTCTTTGTAAAAGGAATTGAACACTGAACAGCCCAAATATGTGCATACCGCTGGGAAGGAAAACCCAAGTTTCAAATGAGAAGTAGTCGCTCAATGATGGGCTTGGACCCGACCCGACCCGACCCGACCCGCCCTTAGTATTTTTTTCAACGTAAATACCTGGAAAAAAATATCATAAAATGAGAAAACAGTACTAGATTAGGGGCACTAGGGTGATATTCGGCTATTCTATAGAAACTAGCTTATAACTAAGTGCGAATGTTTATATTTGATTATTTATAATTTTAGGTTACGTTAAGTCTGTTAACCCGTTTAAATTTAATTGATAATCCTTTGATCGAGATGGTACATAAAGAAAGAATATATAGCTTGAACATTCAGAGAAATACCATCCTCATTTAAGAATATAAAAATGTATTATTGATCTTATTTTCATAATGATAATTAAGCCCCGTTAAAATGCTATTGATTAGTTGATTGTCAAGAAAGATAGAGTATAAAAGTTCAATAGAATTCGCACACGACTCATAGATAGTTTGAAACTGAATCTGAAACCTCTCAATCCTACATAAAGTATTCAATGTTCTTCTTTTAGGAAGAATATGCCACTAAGCAAAAAGAAAATGAAGAGTTTTTTATTCAAGTCAACTATATACTAACAACTCAGCGAAGAGGAGACCATCAAATTTGAGAGGAAACGACAAAATTAGAGTTACATCCAATATACTAATAGACTCGATCAAAGTAATAATGCAAAAAATTAGACACTCTTTATCTATCAGTTCCAGTAGGTTGAATAAAGAATCAACCTACTTCAGTAAATCAATAAATGATTCCTCATTTTAAGAATGAAATAGGTTGTGGTAGCGGGAAAAACCATATACCTAAAGCTCCAATAGCCACCACTCTCCGTTGAACGACCAAATTTTTATCCACTCATATTCAATCTCAAGAGACATATTTTTCAACCAAAAATTCACTTCCTAATCCTCCTTTTGCAACTCCATTTCTGCTACTTTGATGGACTTTCTATGTGGCCCTCAATTTCTCTTGAAATTGGGGTTCTTGTCCACTCACTTTTCAACTCCTCAATCCTCTTCTTCTGTTTTGCCAATTCATCTCCAATTCTATCAATATGCTCATCTCCCCCTTGCCTGCCTTCGCCTGCTTCAGTCCACTTCCATGCCCTTCAATATCCTCATCATCTCTTACTTCTCTCTCTTCAACTGCTCCAGTTTCTCTTCCATGTCTTTCAATACCCTCCTCAATTCTATCACTACCGTCACCAACCACCTCTTCTCTGCCTTCACCTCTACCAAATCCAAACACAATTTCTTCCCCCGCCACTTCCATTCTCAAACTCAATCCCAACTCTTCTACTCTAAGTTCATAGCTCCCAACTCCTAGAGTGTTGCATGAAATTTTAATTTTAGCAATCATTATGGCTTACAATTAGATTAATGGACACTAAAAAAATCACAAATCAATAGTGTCTAACTAATCCTAAAACAATACCAAGTATTTGATTGGCGAGCTGGACCATAAGAATCAAAATTAATAAGAAAAAATATGGTTGCGGAGAACATTAGCTATGAAAAAATCAAACATGAGCATAAATATTATAATTGAAAGCCACCTTTTTTCTAATTGTGATCTTATTTTATTATTTCTATAGCTAAGCAAATAACAAAAATAAAACACATGAAACAAACAACCAAGAAAGTAGACAGAGCGCTAGGAAAGTACAACTGCACCTATTCTACACAAACATCTTTGTTTTCAAACAAATCTAGCACCCAAACTACCGTTCAAATTCATTTCCTATATTTTATAAATCAATCACAAACAACAAACTTAGATAAATAAAAGAAGGAAATAATAGCCTACCAGTGCAATTCAATGAACCTTCTATGAAGATAGAAAATTCATTGAAGTTGAAACCTAAGAACAGAAAGAGGAGCAATGACACAAGAGATCCACCAAGCTTCAAACATCGTATGAGGCAATAAGATCAAAAGAAATATATCTTCTACATGTTCTGCTCATGAGACAACGTAAAAGTAAAAGTCGTTTTGTTATTAATTAGAAAGATAAAACCATGAGACATAGAGAAGAAAGGAAGTACTTGCATATGTGAAGCAATTAACCTTGAACGAAGACTGGCCTATTCAAGGTCGATGCCTAGTATAGGAAGAGAAGTAAAAGCAGAAGATATAACTGATCAAACATTGTCTTCAACAATAAAAGCAACAAAATAGTTATTCTGGTAATTCATCGAGGAGAGACAAAATCATAGGTAGATGCCAGTGCTGAGGAATTGAGCGAGATAATTAAGGCCAGACCATAACTACTTGATTGAACTCCACTCAATTCGCCATGGATTGATATCATAGTTGAAATCTTCTACTTGCCCAACCTAAATCGCCAACAATAAAACTTCATTGTCAAGAGATACTAGAAGATTGATTTTCAAAGGCGCCCTTATACTGGGAAGCGAAAGGGGCACAAACTATTGCACGATGGAAGGAATTTTGGAGGGAGTTAGAAAGAGATAAGAACAAAGATAAAAAATCACAAAATTTGAATTTAAATTGAAAAAATGCAAGGGCACAACACGTAGTAAAGGAAATAGTTTTTCCATATTAGCCAATTACCAATTTACCTTTAGTGAAAATTAAGGACAAAGCAGGAATTTTAAAATGGAGAAAATCACAGTGAAAATTGATAGAAAAGTCCTCCGCTTACTAGAGTTTAACTCGCCTATATTTTGTATCAAAAAATACATAACAAATTTGTTTAGTGTAATTGGTCTAACCTTATCAGATCATTTGCTAAACGATTAGTTGGTAAATCAAAATAATAACCAATAACCGACTACGTGGTTATTGTTAGCCTATTAATATCAATGGTGTGGTTAATAGTAAGCAAAAATTGCTCACAATTAAGCGACAACCTAATAAATGGTTACAATTATAACCAAAGCAAACCGACTAACAAGCCTAGTTAGGGGTGGTTTCCCGAATAAGATTGGGGGTATGGATTTGTCACTATTTCAGAATTTGAATCGACACTTAATAGAAAAAACTAGTTATTTATGGTACAATGGTTACCAGTGATAGAATTGTTGGTTAATCGTTTATGCAATATAATATAAAAGACATATACAAGACATTTGTTTCAAGTACATATCCATTACAAAAAAAAAGAATTTTTTTTATTAAATCAAGTTAGTGATTAGGGTGGCAATTGATATTGGACAAGGTAAAGCCGACAAGAAGGATAGGAAATGAAGAAGAGGAAGCATGAACAACATTACTAATTCGAGTCAGAAATAGTGAACCAGTGGACTAGTCAAACTAGAGTGGTTCATCTGATTTCATGTTCAGCTGCTAGAAACCGTTTGATTCATATATGGTCGTCCAAACAAATGGACTGAACCGCTATAGTTCTATTGGTTCAATAAATTGTTCAATTTGATTCTTATAACATGAGTATTTAGATGATTTCAATTTTTTTTGTTCTTCATGCTTCACTCGTGTTCTTCCTATTGGGGAAAGGGTTGGGTGCTAACACCCGCCAAATTATGAGCATGGTGCTAACAATAGCTCTAACATATATGAACATTTCGTTTTGATAACTTTTTCATTCCAAGGGGTTAAACACAATTAATGTGGATTTATAAAGGGAAGGGCACACTTGCCATTATTAAAAATTGAGGGAATAAGCATTTGTGTTGTGCATTAATACCACCTCACCACAAGCATAATGAAGCATATAACAAAACGCACACCAGTAACACAACAAACCACACTAGAAATACCAAAAAATATACTAGAAAGCTTATAAAATCTTATAAAGCATATTAGAACATCACCACACCACAAAATTTATAAAGCATACTAGAAAAATCGTAAAGCATACTAGAAAAGCTTGTAAAGCATACCAAAATCTCACATCACAAAATTCATAAATCACTCCACAAATACTAGAAAACATACCACACCTCACCACACCAAGTTATTAAAGCATATCACAAATTTCATAAAGCATATAAAAAATCTCATAAAGCTTATCACAAGTTTCTTAAAACATACCAGAATAATTCTCATAAACTTGGAATTATTTGTAGATTTCAAAAAGTTTAAGTGTCTAAATGCAAGACATAAAAATTTTAGGTACTAAAATGTGCTTCCATCAATATTTTTAGGCTTGTATGCAAAAAATAATTGAAGGTACTAAAAATTAATTTTTAATCAATCCTAGAAAAATCATAAAGCATATTAGAAAGCTTATAAAACATAGAACGCATCCTTAAGGATCCTTACATTAGGCACACTTTTCCGGCTCCCTAGATATTCCTTGAATGATAGGTATCTATATGAATTTCACCATACCACAATTATCTGAAAGCTTATAAAGCATACGAGAACCTCATTACCCAACAAAAATTCATAAAGAATACCACAAGTTTCTTAAAGCATACCACAAGTTTCTTAAAACAAACAAAAAACCTCATAAATTTGGACATATTTGGTATCAAAATGCAAGACATAAAATTTGTAGGTACTAAAAAAACGTTAATTTTAGCGCTAAATCTTAACATCTATTAAATTTAGGTATCAAACTACAATTTGCCTATGAAACCCAAATAAAAGGGACTGAGTGGGGAAGGGAGTTGCCGCCCCTATGAGTGACTACATACTATAATACTCTTAAGGGCTAATACCACTACAACACCCGAACTATGACGAAAATGCCACTTGTATCCTATTCTTTTCAATATTCCATTCATATCCTGAACTATTATATTTTGTGTTATTTGTATCCTGCCAATTTCGTTGACCGTTAAAGATAATAGTTGACCAAACGGCGGTCAACTTAACATTGACTTTTGCTGACGTGGTAGTGCCAAGTCATTGACACCTCACATTTTTAATTTATATTATATAAAACTTTGAAAATAAAAAATTGAAAACCTTTAAATTCAAGAATATTACTAAATAATATTCTAAAACCCCAAAATTCAAATAAAAAAAATCTCCATTGATTTCGTCGATTGTCCCTCTACTCTCTGCTTGGTGCTTTCCCGTCGATACTTCAACGACTTCGAAGTTGTGGTCGACTGCTCCTGCAGCAATGACTGAAGTGAGGAAGGAACCGCCGTGTGGAAGAGGGAAAGAAAGGAAGAGACGAGGTGGATGCGGCTGGATTGTCGCCGGGAACTGTCGAAGCACAAAAAGAGGGTGGCGCCGCATCTCGAACCTTCGAAATCTGGGAATACGAAGGTTGATGGAAGGCTCATCGGTCTGAGAAGAAATCAGAATGCGTTCGTGGGGACCAGAGGTTGGGTTTACCCGCGGTTGTTTCTAAGTCGGATGTAGCGATGATGTGGGGTTTGCTTGACTGGGGATGGAGAGAAGGATGAGGAGCGAGGGAGAGAACGAGGTGAATCCCCTTATCTCTCCACCAGTATCGGCAGCCTCCCTCGACCTTCTCCATTCCACAATAAGCTTCGCCCTCCTGTGTCCTGAAACCTTGCCGCCGTCTCTGAATTGGACCAGAAGATTCAGATCTCCAATCGCAGAGTTTGAGGAGCGGAGGAGCTTCGCCATCCATGGGTTAGGATCTCTTCAGATCTGGAGGTTGTTGCGGTGGTAGAGGAGAGTTAGGAGGGCCGACGACGATGAACACTGAGTGGGGATGAAGCTTTGCGGCGATGAGATCTTGGAATCATGCCCCTGGTCTCTTCGAAAACGACGATTCCCCTCCCCAACCTTCGATTCCCCTCCCCCCGACCTTCGATTCCCCTCCCCCCGACTTTCGGTTCCTCTCAGCTTGACCCCCCATCATGAATTCAACTAAGGTTCCAAATCTGGGTGTTGATGGCAACTTCCCGGACAAGGCTCCCGGCAGAGGGTTCCACCAGACAGCGGGAGAAGACGCGGAGAAGGGATTGAGAGGTTTTTATATTTGTTTATTTTGTATTTTTATTAAATGAAAATTGATAATGAAAATTCCAAGTCAGACGCCACGTCAACGCTGACTGGATTTTCTGTTAAATACTAACGGTCAACACTAACGGAATAATAGTTCAGGACACAGATGTAATATTGGAAACAATAGGACACAAGTGACATTTTCCGGATAGTTCGGGTGTTGTAGTGGTATTAGCCCTACTCTTAATGAATTACATTAGCATGGTGTTAACACCTTATCCTAGTGATGAGAATCTTGTCCTTGTTTTTCAGTCAAACCGCAAACTGGACAGTTTAAAGTGGGAAATGGAATGTTCCAAGGAAGTTTACGTTGAGATAGACTACTAGAGGAGACTTTTGTGTTGGTAAAAAGCAACTAAGCTGCTTTGTGGATTCCTTTGGTCCTGTTTGATCATCTATATTTGGTTACCTGAAGTGTGCAAGACTTGAGACAGAGTAAGATTTTAGGAAATTGAGATTGTTAAGTAGTATATAGGTGTAGCCTTGTTTGCATTTAGTTGCCCGGAGACCCACACTAGGTTTTCCATTTTGTTTATCAATTTTATGATCGCGTTTTGCAATAATTTTCAGTAATGAAAGATAAATGATTCAACAGAAAATATAAAATAAGAGGGTGATTTACATAAATATTGTCAAAATAAAATATATCACTATAGATAAAGTGGTAAAAAGTATATTCAGAAGAATATTGTGTTTGGGAGATAAAGTCCCGCGTTCACGCCCAAGCTGAGTAGAAAGAGGAGTGTTTAGGTCAACCAGGACGAGGCCGCACGAGCTGAGTATTTCCAAATTTGATTTAGTTAAGCTAGAGTGGTATCGTGCGAACTGAGCCCTAACATATTAGTTATAGCTCAACTCGCGTGGTACCGCTATAACCAAGCTAAATCGAATCTTGGGTTGAGCAACAAAATGCGACCTTATTCTTCGTCTTACTTAGCTTGTACCAGCAAGCGTCTCTCGTCTTGGGCGACGAACAAACTAATTGGACGGAGGTTGGGCGCGAGACATGGAGCGTGACATAGACAAACGACAGTGGAGATGAAGGTGGGCTGAGTTCTCCTCTACTCTTCCGCAATTCAAACCAGTGACGATGACGAAGAAGACGAACGACCAGCGATTCGACTGCGACTAATCGTGGACTCCGACCCCGATTTCAGTGGTAAGGAGGGAGCTGGAGGTAGGGGCTGAGGGCGTGGCGGCCAACAAGGTCACAGTGGCGGGTGTCACATTGCCGACGGGGAGTTTTTTTTTAATTATTTTCAAAAAGCTAATTGTTTTTTGCCATTTTCCAGCTCCGAGTTTTATGGATACTTATTCATCAAAATGACGATGATCCGTCGATTGAGTCATACTGCTATGAGAATGCATCAACTCGATCTTTCTCACTGTCAAGTTACTTCCAACATATCTACAACCAACCACAATGCACCTCCAAGCACAAGTGTCCTCTTTGTGCTTCAAGCTTTTAAGCTTCCAAATTGAAGGTGACTCCACCACGATATAATGAAAGTTGTGTTGTAGTGCGTGATATTTAATCTCCACGTACTTGTGCAGCTTGTTTGGAGTTAAAATCTGGCCCTTATAGAATTATCTTTCTAAACCAACAACAATAGCCATTGGAATGATGTCAAATGACATATATATGATAATGCAATGTCATCTTCCTAAGTTTGTAAGTAATAATAGACATGATCTTCTATTTTCCTCCTCCTCCTCTCTGTCATCCTCTTCCTCCTCCTCTTCGTCATCCTTTTCCTCCTTTTCTTCTTCTATCTCATCATAGACATGATTAGATGACACACTTCATGTCTCATCTTCAAAAGAACTATTACTACTAATCTCAATATGTATCTCAGTACCCAAATACTAAGGATTTTGTTCCATAAAATTGAAGAGCATATCCAAGCTATCATCATCCACACTAAGATTAGCATAATGAAATAGAATATCGATGTTTTTTCATTCTGGAAGTTTTTAAGTGAAATATGTGATCGTATCCTTAGCTTCCAATGTGTCGTCATTATGTTGTATTCTCGAAACTATATTTTCATAAAATTGGTTATGTGTAACCATGCATGGTACAATTAACTGAAACCTTCTACTACCATCGATAACCAAATTGTTTGTTATTGTTTTCGATCTCCGCCAACCGACTCATTCATAACGTCTAAAATCACTACATAAACGAAAAAAATTAATTAGTTATTTACTAATACAATTCATAACAATTCAAGCATTAAATTCCAAAAAATAAATGGACATCTTAACTTTTATTAGCCATCTTTACGAAGATTGTAGCACTTTCATAACATGAGTTTTGTGGTGAGAAAGAGTGGAAGAATGGTACGAAACAACTGAGAACCAGGTTCTCAGATTTATAGTATAAAACTAGTCGTTTATGGTTGTTTTTGGTATGATGTTACCGTTAGAGACCATACTGGGCGAGGGCACGCGAGCTGAGCTCTAATACAACACTAGCATAGGGCCCGGCCTATTGGCCGGTGAAGTTTTATCTCGTCATTTCAAATCTGGTTATTATTTGTTCGGTTAATTACTATGATGCATGTAAGTGGTAGTTTTATTTTTTTTATAACGATACATGTCATACATTCAGTTTCTAACTTTCTATACATATTATATGTATGTTTTTTTTATTAAAATGATTATTACCAATTATCATGAGCGAATTATCTTTTGACTATATTCATGTATCTAAAATTGTGCTACTTCTTTCTCATACTAATTCATTCTATTGGATTGTAATTGAGATATGAATAAGAATTAGGAGGAATAAATATTAAGAAGGTTAATAGTGTCACAAAATCAAAACTAATATTGTAATTGGCATGATATGTACATAATGATAGTGTATTTATCTAAAACTAAACAACTTTAGTTTTAAGTGAATTGTTGGTTCTTCTGATGTAGCTTTGCAGTAGTATGTTGCTTTATAGAGTAGACAGGTTATTTGTGTACAAACTCTGTATATTGATTGTATTGATGAAATAAATCCTCTTACTCATAAAAAAAACTAAACAACTTTAGTTCTCCAATTAATTGACTTGATATGAACAAACAAACTCTCATTTTGAAAACGTATATTCAAACATTGTTTCAAATCTACATTCATTTTAATTTAAGTTGTACCTTTTATTAATTGAAGTATTTAGCAAGCTTTTATCTATCAGTTGATAAATTTTGTGAGGTCACTGAATGAATAGTATTATGGGTAATGTTGAGCTAATGACAAAGCATGAATATGAGGGATTAAGTTGATAGCATGTTCTGCAAGAAGTTACTGTTGCAAGTTGGAATGTTGGTGAGGCTCGTAGTCGTAGGATAAAACTTTATTTTAGCTCCTTTTCATACATATAAACAATTTACAGCTGGTGTTTTGTGTTTGTCTTACCCATCAAGGTACAGAAAAAAAATATAAGTATATAATAAGGAGGGAGGAAGAGGCGAGTGGGCCTGGATTAATTCCAACTGAGAGCCCAGAGTGAAACGAAACGGAATACACGGGGAGAAGAAAAGATTGGGCTTTAGCCCATACGGGAGTCATCATCGTCAATGGGTGGAAGCCGGAAGGAGAGCAACGCTCGCCGACGCATACTAATGAGAGGAAGGGGAAGAAGAACACATGGTTTTCTTCTCCAATAGTTATTGATCAAGAGGTTATATCCTCTAAAATCCACCGAGAACACTCTCATCGCATTCGATCCCGTGAAAACCAATAGAAACAGAAAGATATACAGGTTTTATACTTCTCGGAGGTGAACTGAATAGGGCGCCTACAGAAAGGAATTAGCAGAGGTGGATCTGCACCCTCTTCTCTTCCTTACGCCGATTAAAAATGAAATAGGGAGAGGGGTTGTCGTTTATTGTGTTGGAACGATGAGCGAGAGATATCCAATTCAGTTAACAGAACGTGTTGGTTGGGCGCGAGAGAGGCGGCCGATTCCGGTGAGAATAATGCTGGGGAATAAAAGGAATAGAGAGTTTACGATAATGTCCCTCCGCACTGTGCGGTGGTTTCAGCGGTGGCTGATGTGGCAAAGCCTGTATCTTGACATTGTCTTATAGTATTTTGTAGATCATGTTCGTTGGCGCATGAGTTCAGCTAAAAGCACTATGTTTGAGCTCAACTAGTGTGCCCTCGTTTAGGTTGATCTAAAATAGTCCGGTTCTCAACTACCGGTGACATGTTTTATTTTGACAATATTCTTGTAAATCTTCCAAAATAAGACCAATATTTCATTTATGTATTAATAACGTAACACTTTAGCCAAATTCCATTTCGACAAACTACGGGAGAGATCTATTATTCATAAGTAAGAAGTCGAATATAACTCCTAAGATGCGTTTTATGGTGTAAATTGAAGAGTTCTTGTAAGTACTCCGAAGTTATACGTGCTCACTATGAAGCAATACAAGAACGAAGCAATACAAGAACGAGTGACCTCTCAAAAAATCACCTCTATATGCATCCGAAACAAGAAACCCTGCTGGTCTAAACGCAAAGCGGAGAATATCGATTGTTACAAACATATGTTTACAATTTCGCTCGTGTTATCCTATTTAATAAAAAACGAACAAAATAATATATATATATATATATATATAAAAAGTCGGTTCACGCCTCAAGAAGACATCCGATTAGATTAGACCCTCAAGCAGGTTCATGGAGTAAGTCCCTAAGACTGTTTCGCCTTAGCTCATCGTCACGACTCCGTCTCCGACAACCATCTGCAATTTGAAAATCTAACGTCACCGTCAAAGGCGAGGACTTCTTCCCGACCTCGGGAATCACCAGGTCCTGATCACAACAATCCTGAAGATCAAGCGAGTACAACACATCTTCCTTGCTCCATCCCGCACGCAATAACTCCCCAGCTGATAGCATCCTCACGTGCCACACAGCGTCCTCCTCCTCCTCGTTCCTCTTCAATCGATCACAATTGTTGTTCGTCTTCATCATCATCATCTCCCTGACTTCCTCTTCTCTCCACCCTCCATCCCTCAACCGCCAGAAAACCTCCTCCATACAAGCCGTCAGCTCCAGCTGGCAACAGATGATTTCAAACCCTCCTCCTCCTCCTGGGACCCACCATCCGCCCGTCGCCGCTCTGCCATCCGCCGCAGCTAATTTCCTCCTCTTCCCCTTCTTGGCCGCCTCCGTCCAGAACTCGATCTCTCTTGCAGCCGTCGCCGCCCAGGCCGGCAGCATAATCGTCACATTGTAATTACCCTGCCCACCAACTCTATTGCTCCCAGCCAGCTGCAGCTGGTGGAAGAACCCGGCAATGTCGAAGCTCAGGACCCGGACCGCCTCCTCGTCGACGAGGAAAATCGGGTTCCCGGAAGCCTCGGGCAGTGCCGGGATGTAGCAATTTCGATAAATCGGGACGAGAGTGGGAGCGTTGCCCAGCAATTTGTCGAAGACGGCGTTTAATTCGGATGGATCGTCGGGTCGCGGCCCCCAGGATTCGACCCAGAAGCCGTGGTGGCGGACGTTGTTGGAGATGTCGAGCGTAGGGAGGTCGCGTAGTATTTGGAGGTGGTGGAGGGAGGAGGATCGCCAGTTGGGGAAATTGGGGCCGAAAGGGAGGCCCTCCCGGAGAATGGCGTGGAGGTCCGGCGGGAAGGAGAATTTGAATTTGGATTCCAGATCGGAGAATTCGGTGCGGGTGAGGCCTGGGAGGATTGGGATGTGGAGGAATTTCAGGTGGTCGATGAGCTTCTTGGCGTAGGCTGCGAAAGAGAAGCACACCTGAAGGTTGTTGGGTCTTGCAGTAACAGTGGAGGATGGTCTAGGCATAATTGATGACGGCGGGTGGGGAGAAATATAAGAAGATGACGAGAGAGGAATAGATATTTGGGAGAATGGGTTTCTGGGAATTTGGAGATGGTGGGGATTTTGGTTGCCGAAAATGGAGGGGGGGAAAGAATTTGCAGCATTCTGATGAATAGAAAGTTTTGACTTACTCTGCCAAGAAATCAGTTTGAAGAACTGTTCAGATTCGTATCTCAATCAATCAGTACAATAGTTATACAACAAAAATTCAATCATATTAGAAAGCTATATTTGACTTTGTGTTGCCATTTGTGAAATTAAGAGCTTCTCCCCGCAAGTTCCGCTAAGGGCTTTCTAGTAATTGCAGGACTCGACGAAAACTCTGCAGATTCTTGATCTTCTGTTGCCTTTGCTTGCATTCACTCTTCAGTCTCTTGTCATCTTTTTCTCTCTCTCTTTTTATTTTATTTTACAAAAGGTAATCTTATATTGATTAAAGAAGAGATAATTCCATCCTGGAGATCAGCCAGGCCTGGAAATCAAAAACACGACTCATAGTCGGAGACAAAGAAAGGGCCTTCCTAGCCACCCTGTGAGCTATTGTTATTCCGACCTATAAACCGCACACCCAACCCCTGATGAGAAAGAAAATATTGTAAAACTTCTTCTAGAATAGCTCCCACCCGGTTATCACTAGCCTGCCTTGAAATAATCTTATCAATAATCACCTTGGCATCTCTCTCAAATCTCACCTCCGTGAACCCCAGACCCAAATACCATCCAATCGCCCCCGAAGGGTCAGTAATTCAATGACCATAGGACCAACCAGGTCAGGAAACTGAATCCCCCTAGCCAAAAGTAATTCATGGGACGATGTCATAAGCACCATACCCCCAGCCGAGGGAGCCCCCTGCCTGGTAGCCCCATCCCAGCGGCAGACGACCCTGGAATCACCAGGCGGGGCAGTTGGGTGGATAGACTGGATATGTGGAGGAATAACTCGATCCCTGGGAAGGCTCATCCACTCCTCATATTGCTGGTGAAACTGCCTCATTAAAGCTGGAATCCCAAACTGTTTTCCTTCAAAGACAACCCAGTTCCGAGAACGCCAGATTCGCCAGAGGACAGCCACAAAAGCCATAAACAAATCCGGATGATGAATGAGAGTCATAACCCTTTTAAGAAACAGGGGGAAGGTATGGCGAGGTAAACCCTGCCCTAAAAATTCCAATCCTGAGAGGTCCCAGAGTGCCCGTGCCACTGGGCAAAAGAGAAAAAGATGCTCCAAAGTCTCGCTCTCCTCCCAGCACACCGGGCATCTGGGGTGCACCCGAACCTCTCTCTCAATTAGGGCTTCCGTGGTTGGAAGGATCCGGTTCAAAATCTGCCAAAGGAACACCTTCAGTTTCGGTGGGATATTAGCCTCCCAAAGACGGACCCAACTAGCTTTATCCATCCAACTAGCCGAAGCGCGCCACCCACCCCTCTGTTTATCCAAAAGGACCGCAAGATGGTAAGCTGATTTAACGGTGAATTGACCATCGGCCATGTCATGCCAGATAAGCTGGTCCGGCAAATTATGCCTGGGGAGGGGGATTGCTTTAATTGCCTGACAGGTAGGGGGATCGAACCATTGATCAAGCCTGGAATCGCACCACCGCCCCTCACCTGGGCATAATACCTCAGAAACACAAGGGTCCCCACCCTCTGGAAGAATTTGAGGACTATACACCGGGGCAGAGGGATACAATCGAGGAATCCAGCTGGAGTGCAGAAGAGAAGCGGTATGACCATCACCAATCTGCCATCGGAGACCCTTCTCTAACAGATTTCTTCTAAACAGGATACCCTGCCAATCCCAGGATGGACGCGACCGAGCCTTAGCAGTGAGGAACGTACCATGGGGAAAGTACTTTCCTTTATAGACTTGGGCTAAGAGAGACTGTGGTTCATTCAGGATACGCCATCCAATCTTAGCCAAGAGAGCTTGATTAAATTGTTCGAAGCGACGAAAGCCCATACCACCATCATGCTTACTGCGACACATATTACGCCATGACATCCAACGAATTTTGGAATGGTCACCCTCAGTGCCCCACCAGAACCATGCTATATGCTTATCTAGGAGGCGATAGAGAGATAAAGGGAGCTTGAAACATGACATGACATGCAGGGGCAAAGCTAAAGCAATCGATTTGATCAAGGTTTCCTTAGCTGCCCAAGAAAGAGTCCGTTGCTTCCAGCCCTGTAGTCTCGCCAATAATTTCTCCTCCAAATATCGGAAGGTATCCATCTTAGAACGGGCTATCAGCGTTGGTAGGCCAAGATATTTATCATGGACGCCCACTGCACCCACCCCCAGGATCTGGGCCAAGAACTCTTGGTCTGGCAGGGCAATATTCTTGCTAAAGCACACTGCTGATTTTCCCAGGTTAACTCTCTGCCCACTAAGTTCTTCGTATTCATTTAACACCTCAAGCAGGTTCTCACACTCCTAGAGAGAGCCACGAAGGAACAGATAGGAATCATCGGCGAAGAACAGGTGGGAAATTCCCGGAGCACGTGGAGCAACCTTCACACCTTCCAATTTGTGCTCAGCAATAGCCTTCCATAAGAGAGCGGCAAAACCCTCAGTACAGAGTAAAAATAGCAAAGGTGAGAGAGGATCCCCCTGCCGAAGACCCCTTGTGGGGGAGAAATACCCCGAAGGGGTGCCATTCGTTTGTACCGAAAACGAAGTGGATGTAAGGAACTCCTTGATCCAACCCCTCCAGGTAGAATTAAAACCCATTTTCTCAAGAACAGCAAGAAGAAAGGGCCATTCGACTCTATCATAGGCCTTTTCCATGTCAACCTTTAGAGCCATGTAACCTTTCTTGCCTTGATTTTTGATTATGAGGTAATGCATTAACTCATGCCCTAGGAGGATATTATCCACTATCTGGCGCTCTTTGATAAAAGCATTTTGGCCCTCCGAAATTATATTCGGTAAGTGACCGGCCAGACGATCCGCCATGATTTTAGCAATGATTTTATATATGAATTGGCACAGACTGATAGGACGAAGCTGGCGCATATTTTCTACTACATCAACTTAGGTATCAAAGTCAGCCAAGTATGATTGAAGCTCCGCAACATCTTACTCGTCGAGAAGAAGGAGCAGACAACGTCAATCACTGAATCTCCAACAATGTCCCAGAAGGCTTTGAAGAATTTGCCAGTGAAACCATCCGATCCTGGAGCTTTTTTCGAACCCATTGCAAACACAGTTCTTCGAACATCACTTGGCTGAACTGGTGCCGTGAGAGAAGCATTCATCTCAGGAGAAACGCAGTGAGCGATAGGGAGGTTCGCCACCCTGTCAGTCATGTTCTCTACCTGATTATCCGAGGTGAATAAATGATGGTAAAAAGAATTGGCAATGCCAGCCTTCCCAGTCTTATCAGTGATCCATTCACCAGAGTCATTGCGCAGACCAGAGACAAAATTCTTCTTTCTTCTGGTCCTTGTGACCGTATGGAAGTAAGAAGTGTTTTTATCCCCTTTTTCAGCCAATTGACCCTGGACTTTTGTTGCCAGTAGCTTTCTTCCGCCTCCCATTGCCTGGATAGCTCCATTTCCAGAGGCTGGACTGCATCCCAGTTTATTGGATGGACTAGCTTAATCCGATCAATTTCCGTCTGGAGGGTTCGAATATTGCGCAGGGAGTTCGTGGTACCAGCCCTACTCCAGTCATAGAGCAAATGGCGAAGTTTCTTAAGTCGCTCCCACAACTGGTACATAGGCGTGCCCTGGACCTCCTCCTTCCAAACATAGGCCACCATAGCTCTAACTTCAGGATTATCAGCCCAGCGAGCATCAAATCTAAAAAGCGGGCGACTATGGCGCCGATACGGTTGGTCCGAGAGGAGGAGGGCTCGATGGTCCGATCCCTGATCAGTGAAGTGTTTTACTAGGGTTTCCGGAAATTGACTAATCCAAGTCTTGGAGCAAAGGGCCCGATCCAACCTCTCACGAATACAGGCTATTCCCATGCATCTGTTGGTCCAGGTGAATTGGTCACCCTGGAACCCGGGATCATGAAGGCCAGGTTCACGGACAAAATCGCGCAGACTAAGAGACAGAGCTGCATTCCGAGCATTCCCACCATCCTTTTCACTCTCGTAAAGAGTAGAGTTGAAATCACCAATGACAATATAGGGGAGCTGGATTGCGCTGCATATCTCTTGTAAGTGGGATAATTGCGTCGCACGAGTGGCGATATCACAACTAATGTAAACAGAGACCACAACATAAGAATGCTCACTTTCATTAATCTGGGTGCAAATACAAAAATTGGAATGAAAAAACACCGAGGCATCAACCCCAGGGGACCAAGATACTACTAACCCTCCCGATGCGTCAACAACATCAACAAAGAAACAATGAGAATGAAGAAACCCTAACCCCCACATACGCCGGCTCGATCGTGTCTCCGAGAAGAACACAAGATCCGGTTATTAGAATGCACTAACTCTACAGCAGTTTGGAATGTGAGGGATGGTCCAATTCCTCTCACATTCCAGGCCAGAATCCTCATTTATCTGATTGGGGCCACTCGAGGCTGGCTTCCTCCACCTTTTCCACATCATCTTTATCTTCAACAAACTGTTTTTTGGGGGTTGGATTATCTGCAATCTCCCCATCAATCTCATCAAAATGACGTTTCTTAACACCATCCCCTATCTCAGGGAGGTTGGTTCCATATTCATTCAGGGGGGTATCATTAGTAGCTTCAATCACCGGGCCCGGCACACCCGTACTTGCACGAGTTTGGGATTGACCTGTACCGCCATCTTCCTCCTTATCCTTCATTGCCAATCCAAGTTCAAAGGTCACACCACTTGACTGACTCGAGAAGATTTAACCAACCTCTTTAGCACCCCTGATGCCGAAGTAACGCGACGCCTAAGCTCAAAGATTTGGGCCTCATCGTCCGAGAAGTTATCCTCCGAGTCCATAGGGTCAGCATTGGGCTCTAGTGAGTTAGGGTCGGCCCTGGGAGATGGTGGCAGGCCCACCTTCACTCCCTTTGCGTCCAAAATTAACCGAGCCAGCTTGTCCTCCTCGGTGTCTCCTTTGGACATGTTTTTGGGCTTTCTAGAACGGACCTTCACAATCTCCTTTTCCTTTTTTCTTTTTGAGCTTGCAGCAGGCTTAGCAGCCTTGGGCGGATGGGCCGGCCCATTACTAGAATTGGGGCTCGGACGAGAAGGCTCCACCGACACCTATCCCTTCAGCCTGGTCATGTGCGCAAAGTTCTGCAGAGCCTTAAGATTCCGTGGGTCGGGCTGAAGAGGAGGTGGCTGAGTTCCATCCTGCCCAATAGACGAGATGGGCTGGACAGAGAAATCATCCTCAGACTCTTCTTCTAAGATGAGGCGCCGGCGGCGAGTCACCTCATGAGCTCCCGCTCGAGGTGATGTACCAGAGGAGGGATTAGGCCTTCGCGAAGAGGTTTCCTTCTCACGATGCTTCATGGCAACAGCGGGAGCCGCCCCCTGTTCATCACGCAAGGGCTTCCCATGTCTGCCACATCGACGCGATATCGAGATCAAGTCATGGCGTTCATGGATCTCCATCGGGCTGCCCACTGGAGCAGCCTGTCCTTACCACGACGAGCCGGCCTGCCAAAGGGAATTTTGGGGGCCTTCGAAATCGGGAAGCGAAGAGGGCTTCTCCCCTGCTTGGCTCGAGGCTCGGCAGGCTCGGTAGTGGCGAACGGGTTGTCCGAAGACCCCATCCACAAAGGACTATTTTCCCCAACCAGCTTTTTAGTAGGGTAAGGAGCTCGCCGCAACATGGTTTCTGTGCGAGATTCCACTCGTACTTCCTGGTCAGGCTTGTGTCTAACATTTGAGTTGATCCATACCGAATTGGGATGGCCAGAAAAGCGTTGGTTATGTTCCTCCTCATCGAAAATTTTCCTGCCCATTTTTTTGGTTGTCATGTGAGGACCAAACCGCTCTTTCCTCGATGGCGGGTCAAACATACAGTTCTGACGAAAGTGTCCCACACGAACGCAGTTGTAGCAGAAACTGGGGAGGTGCTCATACTTGAACCGGATCCAAAACGCGCCCGTCTCTTCATTAGATGCCATGATTTGGGACCTCAGTGGCTTGGAGAAATCGATGAGGGTTTTAACCTTGACAAAGGTACTGGCTGTATCCGTGCAGGAGAAAATGCCAGCTTCGAGAACCCTGCCAAGGGTGAAGTTCACCACTTTTCGTCCAAATTGTTGAGAGCAACATTCTTTTTGCACATCCCACATTTGGACTCGGAATGGAGCAATTGCCATATCTTCAAAAGTTCGAGCAGTAATATTGATGCTCTAAAACACAACACCTAACAATGGCCAAGTGTAACCAATGAAAGGGACTGCAGTATAGTGGCACAAGTAATAAATATCGAATCCACGGGTCTCTAGAGTTACTATTACTCAGCTTCAGTTCATTATCTAGCAAACTAGATTAAGGATTGATTAACTAAACTATCCTACTAACTAAACTAAGTAAAACTACTAATTACAGTTTGGGAACTCACTTAGGTATGATTCCCCCTAGCTCCTCAATTAGGTCCAAGTTGTAATTCCTTTTGGTTGTTTTACTGTTGATTAAACTGCGGAAGATCCGACAGTAGCTTGGAATCTCTTAAGCTGACCAAGCCCTCTCAGTCTAACTATCCGGCAGACGACTAGTCTTCACCGGGATAGACAGCTGAAGCAATAAGCACAGAACTCCACTACTGGAATTGGATTCCAGTACAAAGCAGTAAACTGGCTAACTCTCATATAGCCAATCTCCTACTACCGAATGATGAGGCTCTAACAACCTAATCAGATTCTATCTATCTCAGGTTGCAGCAGAAATCAGGAAAAGTTGATCATACTTCAATTGACTCAATAAACATGCATCATTCGATTATAATCAAACAATATAGCATCCAAAACTTCATACAAGAAAGATTCTAACTCATGGAACTAGGGTTCCTCAAAACCTAAGTGAAGGGAAGTTACTCCATAGAGAAGAGAGAGACTGCAGAAATCTGATCTAGATCTTCAATCTCCATCTCCAAGCTTGATTCTTGAGCTCCAATGGCGAAGAAATCCTCTAAAATAGCTCCAAGAATGTTCCCAAGTCGCTCTCTCTCTCTCTAGGGTTCGTCCCTTGGTTGTTTGGGATCCAAAACCCAGCTCTCTCTCTTTCCTTTTGCTGAAAATTGGGTTTTAAATAGCAATTCCCGACTCACACGGCCAGGCCACACGGCCGTGTGGCTTTCCCAGCTGCCCGTGTGAAGGCTCGGTGATTTCCACACGGCCACATGGCCAGGTCACACGGCCGTGTGGGTTGTGCTCGTGTGGCTTGCTCAGCCTCTGTTTAATGCTTCGTTTCTCCCTCGTCCAGACTCCGAATCAGTCGCCGTTTGATCCCAGACGCTCGTAGTCTCGTCCTCTTTCTTTTCATGACAAGCTTGCATGATTCTTTGTCCATAAAGTGAGGTAGAAATCCATTCTTCTTCAGGTCATACCCGAGTTTCTTCTCCCGAATCGTCAATTGATCTCTGATTGACTTGAAACTTGCGCCTATGCTTCACTTTATGTGCTAGGACCTCAAATGTGACAAAGGAACACAACCTAGCATAAAATAGGCCAAAGACACGATAATTCAAGCTCAAACAATCAAGAAAAAAAGGGGAAAACATGTGCAAATATCGAGTCATCAAATCCCCCCACACTTAACTGTTTGCTTGTCCTCAAACAAACCTAACTCAAACTAATGCAGCTCTCCAGAGCTCTATAGCAACATACAACCCCGATCGTCGGTAGAGGATTTCCTAGATCATATAGCAGCTTACGAGGTCAACTGGTCTTCTAAGATGTCCCCTATCTCTCTCAATGTGAGTACTAGACTCAAGCCAGGATCATGAGAAGAAGTATAAGTAAGACAGTCAGTTCATGGACAAAGGGACTCACAACACTCACAACCAAGGACTCGTTGTACCGGGGTGCTCTTTCACTTCATTTCACCGTTGGAACCCCTTTTTGCACTTTCATTTACATTTCTTTTTCTCTTTTTTAATTCATTCACTTGGTGGGGGTTCCAACTGCAGTCTTTTGCACGGTCAACCCTTATTAGTCGAGCAAGAGCAATTTTTGTACATCTAGCGCTCGCCAGAGTACTTCTTTTAACTCCTTTTCCTCAACTCGTGTGGAGGGTCAATGAAATCAAGGGGGGTCGGAAGCTATATCCGTGCCCTTAAAAACACATCCTCAAGTAGGCAAACCGTTCAACGGGTGAAAATTTTACTTGTACTAGAGACAGCTTAGCTTCACCTTGTAGGAGTACCCCACTAAGGATCACTAAAATCTCTTCCAAAACCCGATTTTGTGCAATGAACGGTGCCACACACGTTGGGCTTACCCCATGTTTAAGATTTCAATGATTTCGAGATGGAGGACCAACTGCTTCCCATTTTCCATATGAGCACCTTGTTCGATACACGAGTCCATAACACAATCCAAACAGAGTCACCATTACCACATGAATTCAACGGTCTTAGCTCCACTAATTCACAAAATCAACTGGCACAACAGAGAGCTAGATAGGAAAAATCTTATACTTCAACATCCTCCATAGTGCTACACTACCTCCCTAGGTTGCACATTACTATAGAGACTGTCAATTCAAAGCATAATGAGCAGGCAATTTGCAAGTAAACACGTACTTGGAGCCCTCAAATTTAAAATTTTGGACAGTGGACTAGGCTCTAAGCACACAAACAGCCAAACATGCACCCGCATACATAATCGAACACCCCCCCCCCCCCCACACTTAAGCACGACATTGTCCTCAATGGAGGAAAGATAAGGAGGGTAGAACGAAGTTACCAGATCAAGGGTGAAAGATGATGGACGGGTCAGGCGGTGCATTCCAGGAAGAAAGAGTAATCAGAACACAAACACCACACAAAATCTCACAAAGGTTGAGTTATTGACTCTAAAATCAAATAACAAAACTGACTCAACCGAGGAGAAATAGAGAAAGAAATGCAAACCGACTGGTTGGATTTCCTCCCAACAAGCGCTTCTTTCACGTCGTGAGCCGGACGATGGCTCCTAAGTTTCGGTCCATGCTAGAACCTCCTTGAAGTTGAGGTTCTCGTCAATGAGGTGGAGTCGCAAGTCACGAGCATGTGGTATGACTGGTGATGGAAGCTCGTGCACTTGATGCAGATGAAGTCTCCATCCTCGACACCTCTTCTTCTCTTCTCTCGTCCCATTGCCCCAAACCAGATATGACAGCATCGATTGGCCACCATCGCGTCCACCAAGAGGGACCGATGTCGATGTGGCCTTGGTCTGGCAAAGAGACACTGCAAATGGGTCCTTGCCAAGCAGATCCTCGAAGTTTGGTGGAGATATCACATGTAACTCATGGCCGGTGCAGGCCTCTTCCACCTTAACTCTGTCCTCGGCCTGGACGCCAATTTCTTCTTGAACCTCCCTTTCTTCTACATGTGGTATCACCCCTGGGAAATGATCAAGAACTCCTCCTGCTTTATTTTCTTCATCCTCCACAACTTCTTTCTGCACCCTTTCTCGCTCTTCTTCTTCTAGCACGGATTGGAGATCAAGTTTCCAAGCAATTTCTTTCATGAGATCTTCTTGCATCTCCTCACTCATGCCCGCCTCTTCAAAGCTCAGTTTGGGATGTGAGAAGGTGTGGTCGGCTACGACAGGACATTCCTGATCATGATCATCACGGGAGCTCTTCGTGACAACTTCACTGTGCTCCACAATGTCCTTGGAGCCTTCTTCTTCCTCCTCCTCTTCTAGTATGGTAACAGAAGGGTGATCTGGAGCAGGTTGTGCACAAGATCGCTCAAGATCATCGACGCTCTTCTTAAGGCTCAGGAGGATCTCGTCTGTTTCACGATAAGCCTGGACACAATGATCCATCCTGGAGCATGATCTCTCACAGTCTCGAGCAAACTGCTCCATGAAAAGTCTCAATTCATAGTTTGGATCTGGCTGTGGAGTGTAGCATGGCTCTGCAGAATGGCCCGTGAAGGCTGCCATGGGTAACTCCAGCTCCAATGGCCCCTCTGGTTGTGGGAGAAATTCTTCTCGATAAGGAGGTTTTTCTTGATATGCCCAGGGGTCTGATTGTTCTCCGTAGAAAGGGGGTTGGTACTGGAACCCGACTCCATAGTCTTCTCCTCCTTGGTTACTCCAGGGAGTCTCGGGGTAATACCACTCGGATGGTGGTGGATACCCCCAATGATTGGAGAAGCCATGAGGGTCCATGATTCAGATCTGCACCAACAAAAACAAAAAACACCCAAGTGAAAAGCAAGGGCGGAAAACAAAAGAAAAACGCTAAAGTAACAAACTTCTGCCTTTCCTAATAATCTAGAAAGTCCCCGGCAACGGCGCCAAAAACTTGATGCTCTAAAACACAACACCTAACAATGGCCAAGTGTAACCAATGAAAGGGACTGCAGTATAGTGGCACAAGTAATAAATATCGAATCCACGGGTCTCTAGAGTTACTATTACTCAGCTTCAGTTCATTATCTAGCAAACTAGATTAATGATTGATTAACTAAACTATCCTACTAACTAAACTAAGTAAAACTACTAATTACAGTTTGGGAACTCACTTAGGTATGATTCCCCCCTAGCTCCTCAATTAGGTCCAAGTTGTAATTCCTTTTGGTTGTTTTACTGTTGATTAAACTGCGGAAGATCCGACAGTAGCTTGGAATCTCTTAAGCTGACCAAGCCCTCTCAGTCTAACTATCCGGCAGACGACTAGTCTTCACCGGGATAGACAGCTGAAGCAATAAGCACAGACTCCACTACTGGAATTGGATTCCAGTACAAAGCAGTAAACTGGCTAACTCTCGTATAGCCAATCTCCTACTACCGAATGATGAGGCTCTAACAACCTAATCAGATTCTATCTATCTCAGGTTGCAGCAGAAATCAGGAAAAGTTGATCAGACTTCAATTGACTCAATAAACATGCATCATTCGATTATAATCAAACAATATAGAATCCAAAACTTCATACAAGAAAGATTCTAACTCATGGAACTAGGGTTCCTCAAAACCTAAGTTAAGGGAAGTTACTCCATAGAGAAGAGAGAGACCGCAGAAATCTGATCTAGATCTTCAATCTTCATCTCCAAGCTTGATTCTTGAGCTCCAATGGCGAAGAAATCCTCCAAAATAGCTCCAAGAATGTTCCCAAGTCGCTCTCTCTCTCTCTCTCTCTCTCTAGGGTTCGTCCCTTGGGTGTTTGGGATCCAAAACCCAGCTCTCTCTCTTTCCTTTTGCTGAAAATCGGGTTTTAAACAGCAATTCCCGACTCACACGGCCAGGCCACACGGCCGTGTGGCTTTCCCAGCTGCCCGTGTGAAGGCTCGATGATTTCCACACGGCCACATGGCCAGGTCACACGGCCGTGTGGGTTGTGCTCGTGTGGCTTGCTCAGCCTCTGTTTAATGCTTCGTTTCTCCCTCGTCCGGACTCCGAATCAGTCGTCGTTTGATCCCAGACGCTCGTAGTCTCGTCCTCTTTCTTTTCATGACAAGCTTGCATGATTCTTTGTCCATAAAGTGAGGTAGAAATCCATTCTTCTTCAGGTCATACCGAGTTTCTTCTCCCGAATCGTCAATTGATCTCTGATTGACTTGAAACTTGCGCCTATGCTTCACTTTATGTGTTAGCACCTGAAATGTGACAAAGGAACACAACCTAGCATAAAATAGGCCAAAGACACGATAATTCAAACTCAAACAATCAAGAAACAAAGGGGAAAACATGTGCAAATATCGAGTCATCAAATATTCGGTGTCCAGGCACGTAGGTGAAGGATTTTGTCCATAATCACCCAAGGAGTGCGTTGGGGTACCCAGTTCTTTGCCGCTTCAGTTGGGAGAACGAATTCAAACAATACGTGTGCCGCCTCCCTCACTTTGATTCGTCCCTAGCCTTGCCATGGGTTATTAATCGCCGCACGTATTTCAGTTGTAGTCAGCCGATCTTCAGAGAAGACGCGGCCGAGCAGCATTCTCGACTTGTGAACCCTGTCGGATTGGATCTCTGTTAGCAAAAATTCCACAACCTGATCACGGGTAAAGTGAGCCATGGTGGTCGACTGCAACATAGAGGAGAAGTTCAAGTTACAGACATTAATCATGGCCGAAGCTTCGCCAACAGGAGTCCATGAGTAGTTCGAGAAATTGAAATGGAAATTACTGGTAGGAAAAACATCTACCCGTAAACAGAGAAGTATATCCGTAACCAAGAATTCCCACGTACCAGAATAGATCTCCTGCGTGGAATTGTGAACGCAGCTGCTAGGCACCCGATCCTCCTCTCGATAATGGTGAGGGTTAGGATTTGATGGCCGCTTTAATTAGGCAGGAAAGGTTTGAAAACTCCACTGCGGCGGGAGTTCTATCTGGAGAGGGGAATTATTTTGTGCCAATTTAGAAAAACGGTTAGTGGATATCCCCAACCGTGTAGAGATACGGCGTATCCCAAAATTCCCCCGGCCGTTATACGTCCCCGAAGATAACACGATTCACTTGCTGGTAAACTTTCCTAGCAGCGTACGTTTCGGGCAAAGGACCGCTCGGATATCAACTAGAGTCCACGGCTCCGGCTCCGGTCTGCGTCGGACACAATTTTCCGGCGCCTGGGTACCACCACCAAACAGAGTTGAACTCGCCCCATTGCGGGATTTGAGTTCGGAGCTCGCCCCATTTCGGGATCTAAGCTCACAGAACGGGGTATCAAACCTTAATTCTAGGATCCTTATAGGAGCCTTGCGCTCTTTATGATGAATCAAACTATTGAGATCATCTTGTGATTCCATTTCTACCTCCTCCAGCGACGGTAAGTAGAATCACCACATCAGCAGCTTCGATCGACGTACTCGCTTGGGCTGGGTGAATTCATGGACGTGGGTAAGAGCCGGGGCTTGTGATCTTTTCCTCTTCCCAGGCACGATCAGGTTGGCCTCCCTCCGAGAGGAGTGATGGACAGAGTCACCCCTTGGCCGTCGTCGTCCAAGTAGCGTTACTGGAGTACTTGTCTGAGTTCCCTCCGGCTTCATGTGTGAAGTGGCCCACCATAGTCCCTGCTTCTCATGATTGGCAAGGGCAGATTTGAAGAACGCCACAAAATAGTAGAGAAAGATGTCGCCGGCCGATCGGCTAAGCTGCAAAAGAGCCCTCGGCCAGAGTCCGAGGAGAGAGGTGAGAGTACCTATCATTATTTTTTTGTACGGAAAAATAGATTGAGTTAAAATAAATTGTTAGTAGTAGGTGCTTAATGTTAGAAGTTTTTTGTAATCAACAATAGTTTTTTTATTTTTGGGTAGAAAGTAATCAACAATAGTTAATTATTAATTGTTAAGACTAATTACGTTCGTACTCTTTTCTGGTAGGGTTAGAGGTGGATTGTATACATGTCTACATCCGACATCTCTGTGTTTAGGGTGTCAATTCGGGTTCGGTTTTTCGGGTTTACCCGAAACCGACCCGATTATATACATTTACGTTTTTTCGGGTTCGGGTTCAATCCGGGTTTCGGATTTTTCGGTTTCGGGTTCGGTTTTGCTTATCAGTTTTTCGGGTTCCGGCTAAAAACCTCCAATGAATAGAACACAGCCCATATTTTTAGGCGTTCGGGTTTTCGGGTTTCGGTTTTGCTTTAACCAAACCCGAACCCGATAAGGAATTTTCGGGTTTCGGGTAACCGGAACCCGCAAGTGCTTATCGGGTTCGGGTTCGGTTTTAGTGATTTTCGGTTTCTTGTTTTTTCGGGTTTTGGTTTGGGTAACCAAACCCGACCCGAACTGACACCTTTATCTGTGTTGGACAGGAGCAGTCAGGATTCATGTTTGGCGGCCAAATTTTAAAATTAAGTTATAAGTAGGAATGCAAATGAGCCGAGTCAAAGTTTTGTTTAACTTGAGTTTGCCTACTTCATAAAATTTTCAGCTCGAACTCAGCTCAAACTCGAATTTTAATAATCCAGCTCGAGCTTGTGCTCATGCTCGGCTTGAATAAAAATAATATAGCTCGAGCTAGAATCGATAGAGCTCGGTAAATGCTCATTAACACAACTAGTCAATCTGAGTACAACCTCGACCCAAAATGAGCTCAATTTAAAATCATTCTTGTTGAAAAATGTACAAACATAAGAATTTAAATGGTAAAAAGAACAATAGAAACTAAAACAACAACTAACTTCGATACACTTCCGTATTAACAAGATAATGTTCATGTTCAGAAGAGTAAATAATCATTCCACAAGCTCTAAACAAGCCATCTCGCGAGCTTAGCTCAACAAGTCACCGAGTCAAGCTAGCTCACGAGTTTATCAAGGTGAGCATGTTCAAGCTCAAGCTTGACTCGTTTACTAATGAGTCAGCTCGCGAGTCGACTTGTTAAATAATGAGCCGAGTGTTGAATGGGTTTATTCGATTCCATCGCCGAGTTGCTCGCGAGCAGCTTGGTTCATTAGCAGCCCTACGTATAAGTATCTAATTTATAATCACTACGTCTTGTTGGAGTAGAATTAGGTATTAAGAGATTGGGATTGGGATTGTGATTGAATTTCAAGTGTTGTTTTGTTATTAGGTATTAAGAGATTGGGATTGGTATATACCAAAATATAAGCTAGTATGTATTTATCCCTCTTAACTAGACTCTCTCACTCATTACTACCAGACCTTGAATCGTCAAGATGGTAATTTATTATAGATAGCTCATTCTCTCAATATTTGATAACCCATACCAAGCTCATTTTATTATTTGTAGTATGTTTATAGGTTGTTTAGTCGTCTCATGTTTCTATTTGTTGATTTAGTTTGTCGATGGGCTTCTTAGGCACCACATTTTTCTAGTATGTTGTTATTATATTTAAGATTTTTTTCCATTCCTATTGCACGAGTGTTGGCACCACATGATTGTTTGTTTTTATATATTTTGAGAATGATTTGTTGAGCTAGTATTTGTGTTTGAATATTTTATTTGTAATTTTGAAGAAAATTAATTCGGTATTTGATATATAGCGATACCGAAAAAAATTTAGGGATTGAGATTGGGATACCAAATTTATTTTGGCATTGAGAATGAGATTGAGTTTAGGGCACTATTTTGTACTCGGTATTTCGGTATTTGGTACTTCGATATCGATATCTTATCGATTTCCACCCCTAAATTGTTATTAATGTTGTTCCTGAAGCCCCCAACTATAATTGACGAGAAAGAGAAGCGCAAGGGTCCTGCATCTTGTAAGGTGTTCTCAGAGTGGTGGCAACACTATGATAAGGTACAATTGATGGCAAACCAAAAGCCGAGTGCAAATATTGTAAGAAGATGCTTGTTAGAGAGTGGAGACCCATCACAAGGAACAACTCATCTAAAGAATCATTACAACTCATCACAAGTGAAGCGGCCTGGAAATATAAAACAACAACTCCTGCAATAATATCTGAATAAGGGTAAATTCCAGTTCATGTCATTCAACTTTAGTCAAGAGAACTCTTAAAAAAGAAAATTATAAGCCATTAGTATCCTCTCTCGATCGTGGAGGATGAAGATTTTAAGAGTTACAACATGAGTTTGAATCCATGCTTTAAGATGGTGTTCAAAAACCCCATAAAAAAGGACTGTCTTGGCATTTACGATCTCGTAAAATAAGCTGCAATGGAGTTTCTAAGGAAGATTGAAGGTTGAGTGGCAATAACCATAAATATGTGGACATCTTCTCAGACAAGGGTTTCATGGCAGTGACAACACACTACATCGATAATAGTTGGACTTTGCAAAGTTGAATTATCATGTACTTTTTGTATTCATTCACTTATTATAGCATGCGATTACTTGGTTGATGTTTCCCTAATTAAAGTTTGTTATGATTCATGACTATAGTGTGTTTCAGAACTCTCAGTCATGGTTTTTCCTGTTTCAGAAATATGCAATTATGCCTGAGTTTAAGACTTTGACGGTGAAAGCTGTTCACTTTGTGTGTAAAAGAGATCAACACTGATATGAGTTCATAATAGTGGCTATAATTAACAGATTATTGATTTTTCTTATGGCTGAAAAAGGGTTGTTCATGGTTACTAACTTATAATTATAGTATGTTACAATGCATTACACTATGTTGTGTATGTACATGTTGAATTGGAGTCTATTATAGTATATTGCTAATCCACCATATTGATAAGTTTAATTATGTCGTGTTGTCTGTGATTTTACAGGTTCATTTATGTACTTGCGCTTCACACAAGTGAAGTCCTTTGTAAATTTATGTTCAATTGTATATTGGATGGGAACCTCGATAATAGATTATCACTTGTCAAAGTTAATAAATGCTCGACGAATGATACAATGATGAGTCAACTGATGGAGAAGCTTCCTTTAGAGTATCTTTTGGACCATTGAATTTAAGTGATAACCAAGGTTTATGGTCAATAGATTAGACATGATAGAAATATTCATCATTCCTTCACTTGTTCGGAAGTCGTGAGTGACTAGAAATCAAAAGCTAGATAACAAAAATGTTTTGACATATAATTGCAAATTTTTTGGGAAAAAGAAATCAAATGCGCGTTGACAAACCACTGTTTCGGGAACAACCTCTTGGTTTAACATTCACCTTATGTCTTTGAAATAAAGAAATAGATCATAGAATTTTTGACCATATCATGGTGTTGAATACTAAGATGGATACTGAAATAGTTTACTAAGATGCGTGTCGACATTAATGCCTCCAAGAGAAAGCAACTAACCAATAATTGTTAGCGGTGGATATTGAAATAGTTTACTAAGATGGATATCATATCATGGTGTTGAATACTTGGACCTTACGCTTGAACATTGTCTCTTGCTAATAAATAAAATTTCATAAATTACAATGCTTAAATAAGGAGTCGTTAGGAAATTTTTATTGTTTTTGTGGATTGTTATAATACATACATTGTTCTGAATATAATATTTATTTTGGTTTTTGTTCATACATTATTCGTGAATTATTTGCTTGATTTGACATAAATTATCACTCAAAATTGAATGATTAAACAATCTCGACTTTTGACATAGATTGTTGAGATAGTTGGTATAACTTACTCGACTCTAACTACACATCCCAATCGACGGTCAAGTATAACAGAAGACCGGGTGTAGCAAAGGGTAAGCAAGCAATATAATTTATCGTACCATGGGGATCTAAGCTTACCTTACTTCTGATTTAGGGTTCATTATCTAGCCAACCTAGGATAGGGATTAAGAAGACTAAACTAACCAACCTAGGTAACCACTAATCTAGCTAGTTACAAGTGGTGGAGCTCTCTTAGGGTTGAATCTCACTAGTTCCATCATTTGGATCGATGTTGAGTACTATCCAAACTCGATTGACTCACTATCCTACCGTTAAGGGGATAGACTCCCTCGGTATTGACCCGGAACGACGAATTGATGGATGGGTAGGTGATCTATTTAACCTAGGGGTTCATATATTGCTAAGAGACCGATCGAATCAATTCCCTCGGGGATTACCCGGATAATATATGATAGGAGTGACCAAAAGACGCCAATAATGGGTTCTTAGGGGATTTTCTCCCTCCAAGGTCAAAAGATCAATTGACATGAAGTGGAAACCGAAATCATGCAATCCATAAAACATCCATCAAATAGATAAATTTATCAATCAAACATAGAATATGTCACATACATCAACAACAAACCAAAATCTAGACCTAGGGTTCATCAACCTAAGAGAAAGATGTATAGTTCATAGAGGAGAGAGAGATATTACAAAATAGCCAAAGATCCTCATCTTCTAGGCTTCAATCCTTGTCTCCAAGATCAACCCAAGCCTCCAATTAAGCTCCAAGATCTCAAAAATCTCACTCACTAGAACACTCTTTGATGTTTTGGGTCGAAACAAACCAAGTTCTTCTCTAAAAATGGCTCTTGTTTCTCTCTCTCCGCTGATGTCTTTTTATACAGGCTGACAGTAAAAAATCACAGTCTACTGTCATGACCGTGACGTCGGAAGCTCGTCCGTGATCTCAGACAAAAATGCAGTCGTTTCGTTCAAATAATGTCACAACCTCTGCATAATTGTCACGGACAATTATGCCCGTGAGGCATGCAAAACTCTTCTTATCCACAAGCTCAACAATTTGTCACGGGCTAGAGACCATGACAATTACCCCCAGCACGTGACTTTGCCCTTTTCTTCACTTTTTGGCTCTTT